GAAGCAGAGTAACAGCCGAGCCGTGTTTTAATAATTGCCATGCTCACACGACCGGAGTCCCCTTATAAAGAGAATCCGCCTGGAGAGAGTCATGATTCGGTTGACAGAAATTTCCTCACAGCAGTTGTACCAAAAAGCAAAGTTATATTTTTGATAGCAGAATCGAATACCTTGCCACCGGATGCACAGAGCGAACCATCCGGTGAAACAGTAACTGTATTAATATAGCCCGTGTGGCCAATATGATTGGTTTTCAATTTGCAGTTGGCGAGATTCCAAACTTTGACCAATTTGTCCCAGCCAGCTGACACAATTACGGGATTTGAACTGGACGGCGAAAACCGCACATTTGACACCCAATCTGTATGACAATCTTCCTGAAAACACAGTATCTATCATCAATCAACCCAACGAAATGAATCTGCCGGCCCTCAAAGAGCACCATGCAAGTAGCGCTTCTTTCAATAACATTTTCTATAGAATGTCCGAGGAAAGTTCAGTCACATACGGAAACTACCCTCCCTTTGTAACCAAAGTTATCCAGGAATTTCGAAAATTGCGTGAAGAATAACAAAGACTTTTGATCTAAATTCATGATTTCTCTCGCCCAACGCAAAATTCCTCGTTTTTGGTAGCTTCTGACACAGCAGGAATGCAATCCCACCCATAAAAGCCTGGAAATTCGCAACTAAGCAGTCGCATTTCAGACACCTCACCTTTATAACAATTATGTCACCGACAGCCACTGATAGCCCTACCCGCTGGAGGTTCGTATCATTTCCCGATTACCCCCAACCTCTCTCATAAAGCCAATATAGAAAGAGTTTTGACTTTTAACGTTGACTGTTGAGACATCGCAGTGCAGAAAATTCTGCATTTTACCCCCCTTCACTTCCACATTTACAGCTTTACAACCCCTTTGTGCAGCAATTCCCCGTCGTTGCCAAAAGCTTTTTTTCCCCGTGCGAAGTTCTCCAACCAGAAGCAACCGATGCGCCAAAATCCAAGTTCTCCTGACGTAAAAGCAATACCGGGCATCTTTCTGCGTCTTGCCATCTGCTCTGACAGTCACTACAGGGAACTATCGCATGGAAATATTGCTGAAACGTCTGTAATTCGTGGCCCAAGCCAATGTTTAGCAGTTTACGATGGCGTACATTTGCAGTGAACTCAAAATGCTTACGTTAACAGTATATTTGCACTGCGCTAAAGTGTTCCACAACTTGATAGACTTGTCCCGAGATCCGGAAACAATCTGCCGGTTGTCGGCCGAGAACGCCACTGACAATACATCTCTGGTATGCGACACGAATTGCCTCGATGTCACGCCACTAAAAGTAGCAACAATCGTCGCCTCCCAACAAAGCAAACCCTGATCATAAACCAGCACCCCCAAACAACTTCCTGCATTTCGTAATATCGCGGCAAAAAAGAAGCGAAAACGTACGTAGAAAGATCCCACAGACGCAATGTTTTGTCCCAGGATCCGGAAAGCGCGAACTGGCCATCCGAAGACATCACAACATCAGAAACGAAGTGCCCGTGACCCCTCAAAGCCCTCTCCGCCTTGCCACCCAACTGCGCCCCATAGCCCGTCGACAGATCATCCGAATCAAGCTTCCATACAATTATCGTTTTATCTGAAATATCAGTAACATTCATGATAACACAATGCATGCCATAAATCATTCTATGCCGGGCCGCGCTGCCAACAGCGCAATCTGTGGTTGCGACCTGCCTCTGCCAGACAACTACGGCATGCTCATGCCTCACATCAAGCACCGAACCACAGGCACATCCAAGGCCGTCTTCTAACGGAGAGGGAAGGGGAGGGGGAGAGCAGAGGCGACAGGCGGTATCGGCTACAGTTTTCTATAGTAAAACAGCTGCTATATGAGCCCCTGGGAGGGGAAGAACCCCCCTCCCTGGATTCGTCAATGCACCGAACAGCACTCATTCGAGGGACAGTGCCCACTTTCTAACTCAATCTCAGCCCCACGCTTCGCCGCTTCAGAAAGCTTCGCAGCTCCAGAACGCAGGCGCATGAAAGTGGCAAATATTTATGCTAAAACTGTCAGGTGAAACTTGACTGTATGGTACTCCAGGAACAACAGTCACGGGCCGAGCTCGCCAGCAGCACCCAACTCACGCTAAGCAGAAAAAAATACAGCGTCTCTTGCAGATCCCGCTGGGAAGGGCACCAATCCCCGATTACCCCGAGAAGCAGCGCAGGGATTTTGTCTCGACCACTCCA